AATGGTTCCTTTTACTTTCCTTTTGCCAGAGACACAAGAGAATTTTTCTCAGCTCTTCACCGTGAGAGCCTGATGAAGTTCCTGGAGGTACAGCCTATGAAAGTGTGGAGACCCCTCCCTGAGACTGTGGGCCCCCAGGAATTTCTTTCTGCTGCTGGTTTGCACTCATTCTCCACCGGTTTGTCAAAATAGCCATGTAAGTCTACCCATCGGTTTGTGGGTGCTAGGTAAACTGATTTCAGCTGTGATTTGCTCTTCAAATTTCAGGGTGGCACCTCAATTCTCGATGAGCCCAAGAAAATGTATTGATTTTCAGTTTTTAGCTTTTATCTTATAAGGATGGGAGGGATGAATTCCAAGCTCTTGACAGGTTGGGGCTGAAACCAGAAATTGGTAAGTTTCTAAAAGTTTCCCCCCAGGAAAGAGGGGGGAAGAAATCACATAATGAAGATCAGGAGTCAGAATGACATCAGGCTTTCTCACAGTAACACCAGAAGCTTGACAAGAATAGGGGCGATGCCTTCAGAATTCTGGGGGAAAAAATCTAACCTAACATTCTATACTCAATTATCAATTGAGTATGAGCATATAATAAAAATATTTTTGGAAAGCTTTAAACATACAACTACTCAAAAAATTCCCGCTTGTCACCTTACCCTTATCTGGGAAGCTGCTTTGCTCAGAACAGTGAGATAAAACAAGAAAGACCAACAGCAAATGTTGCAAAACGAGTTTCTGATAAAAATATACCCAGGCATTGGCTGGAATGCTGAACATACCCCTCCCCATTATTCTCCAGTCAGGATCGTTCCTGTGGCTCTGAGTCTTAGCTACAATCCTGGTGGTCTGACTTATCCAAGTACCCTTTCCCAGCCCTTGGCTTTGCCTTCACTTACTGAGAAACTACCATGTGTCATTAATAAAGTATAAAGAGAAAGGGGGACAAAAAACAAGAAGGAAAAGAAAGCATGGTTACTGCTATTTTTTCAGTCTTCGGGAACTACTTAACTTTAGATTATATGCATGTAAAACTTGTTAAAATTATAAAAAATACTTAAGTTTAATTATTTAAAGTTAACTAATTAATCAATTAATTTTTTGAGGGAAATAGAGGGTGAACGGGGAAGTTGCAGAGAATGAGAGGGAGACAGAGAATCCCAAGCAGGATCCATGCTGTCAGCGCAGAGCCTGGTGCAGGGCTTGAACTAATGTACCTGGAGATCATGACCTGATATGAAACCAAGAGTCGGATGCCTAACCGACGGAGCCACCCAGGCACCCTAAGAATACTTAGAAGATGAATTCTCACTGCAGACTGGTTGAGAATTGGAGACAACATTAGCTGAAATAACCTCAATTAATTCTACTTTGGAATGTTTAGTGTTTACCTGATAGAGTGAGCACAAAAAGAGGCAAAGACTTGTAATGATCTTTTATTAGTATCTTTTATTTTTGTATTGCGAGTGATGAATACTTATAAACTAACCCTTGAAAGTGAACCATAAAAGGCACTACATAGATGGTTACACTGTGGCATCGCCAATATAACACTTTTGAAAAATTAAACAAATAATTGAGGTCATTGGTGGAATAAGTGCTTGTGGAATTGGTTAAAAAATAATCCAGTCTCAATAGCATGAGTAGATGCAAAAAAGTGCCATGTGTCAGACTTCGTGTGCACTGGAAATCACTAAATGACTCTGATGACTAAATGACAAAGGCATTGACAATAAAGATTCAATTGAACAGCTCAAATAATATTGTTTCATGAAATGAGTGAGGAGTAAAAACAGTGCATTACTAAATTAATATTATTCCATGGAACATAACAATTTTAAATTCATATGGGAACTAAATTGATTATTCTAAGTAAAATAAAAAGCAAATGAACTAGCTTTCAAACTGTTTCCCTAAAACAACTTTCATTTTCACTGAGGAGGCAGTAGTGAATGAAACTAAGATAAACCTAATGGCTGTTCCTCAAGAGCTGAGGCCATCATTTCCTATTTGTATCTCATGCTCATCTTACTAAAGAAGTCCCCTACTTCCCTCTCTACCATATCACCCTGTTTCTTATCTTCACAGCATTGATCACTAAATGCTATTTTCCTATTTGTTGGTTCATGTGGTTAAAGTCCACCTCCCTCATGAGAATGTAAGCCCGATAAAAGGAGTGACCTTGCTGTCTTACACTGAATGTATCCCCGAACTTACCCAATGCCTCCCAGATCATAGGCATTCAATCAAAATTAAGTAGTTGGAGTGAATAATGGGCACCTGGTAGACCCAGTAAAAAATGGGCATTAATTCAAATTTCCTCACAAATTTGGGGTCATCTTCTGATCATTGGGAGGAAAAGAGCATTCCCTCCAAATAGTTCTCACAAGTAATGGAGTAAATGGTGATCACTGGTGTTGAAATCTTCCTAATCACTAAATGGAATTATAGCAGGATTGTAGCTATTAGCAGGCTTTGTCCTGTGGGAAAATTCTCAAGAGCTTATATAACCCTTTTAGTTACAGAGAAATGTGGTCCACTATGCAGTTAGTGCATGAAGTCTGACACAATAGAGGAACTGAGGTAAACATGATGTAAAATGGTGTTATACATTCAAACGCACAATAACTGGTTTACTCATTTACCTCCGTAGGACATTCTGCTCTGTTACCACTTTGAAGTCCGATTAATTCTAGCTTCACTTTATTTGAAACCCTTTGATGGCTCACTGACTACAGAAAACACTAGAATCTTTAGCATGGAATATGATTCCTTCCATAATCTGGCGGGTTTCTTCTCTCCTGGTATCTGGTTTCTCTCCCACCAACCAGGCTCCAGCTGAAGCAAACAGCTTCTAGTTCCCTGAAAAACCCAACCGGTTCTTCTCTCAATGCTTCTCTCACCCTGCTCTCTCTGCTTGGGAAGCCCTGCCCTCCTGGCCCACCCAGTGGTCGGTACTCACTGGTCAGGACTCTATGAAAACTTCTCGAGCCCCCTCCTCTAGAAGCGACCCGCTCCTCCTTCAGGTGCAGCCCTCTCTCTACCCTCACCTACAGACCTCATATTGGGCCTGGCCCACGGGTACTCCTGAAACTGCATTTCCTGTCACGCCTCCCATTGTTTACACACACTGGGATCCTCACGGTTCCTCAAAACCTCTGTTCTCATTTGCCAGGAGTAAAAATGTTCTCCCAGATATTTACTCTGTGTGTTCCCAACTTCACCTGACTCCGCTCAAACCTCACCTTGTAGAAGAGGTTGTCTTTGACCACTCTACCAAAGACATTTTTCCCCTCCTGCTTTTGAAACGGAACTACCTCTTCTCTCGTCCTTTACTTCACCTCCTTTTCTCTTTGTATTACTGATCTAACATTATTTATTTAGTGGTTATCTGTCTTCCTTCTGGAATGTAAGGTCTGGGAGCGTGGGTCTTCATTTCGTTCACTGATTTAAATATTTGTGAATGACCCCCATGACACAAATTGGTCTGAGACTCTCTCGCTTGCTGAACTGCAGGGGTTATAGCCAATTCCTCTTGGCTTCCTCAGCTCCTTTCCTGGCGCAAAGTAGCTTCTTATTTCTTGTATGACTGGATGACGTCAAGCATAAATTATCTGTAATAACAGTTCCCAACAAAGGGACTCTGAATCTGCATATGCTACCTAAGCTGAAGAATACAACGATATTTCCACAATCCCTTTATCTAAAACTCTTGGCACCAGATGTTTTTCACAATTCAAAATTGTTCACTGCTTAACACCCCAAGTAGAGTCTGTGGCGGTACCCTGTAATCAAACATATCAGTAGCTTTGCAACAAAATATGAGGAGTCCTACAGAGTGAGATGAATAATGCTGAAGTCAGCTTTTTACTGTCAAGTGCGTTATCAAGATACATTTTAAGAGTTTGGAATCTTGGAATTGTGGACACAGGGCTGTGGACTTGTCCTAGCACAGAAAGATCTGTATCTCTGTGCTAAAATGGGCTCCCCACATTCTAGAAGATTAAACACCACTGACATCACATGTTAGTTTAAGACATATGCTTTTCTCTTCCCAGTACAACTAACATATCCTATGTGCCAGCCTTTGTGCTAAGCTCTTTAGATATGGAGGTAAAAATTGTTTGCCCCATTTTATGAATGAGGAAACCAGGGTTTAGAGAGAGGGTTAGTGGCTTACCCACACAGCTAGTTAATGGCCAAGCTAGATCCACACTGAAGCTGTCTCATGATCAAAAGCCATACTCTGGAACACCTGACCATCCTGAATTCATATAGTTCAAGATAAAAATTCCTGAGTCTTGTCAAGTTTCTTTTTAACATTGAGCCAAAGGAAAGTTTCTATGATTCAGGTGAATATAAAGATCCTCAAGCTACAAGTTTCTCATCATAAAAAAGCCTGGCTATATGTAGGCAACATTTACTGATATTTGTATAATGGAATAATTGATTTCTTCAGCTAAACCAGTGTTTTACACATTGGCAATGAAAGATCAAGTGATTCCAGATAATTAAAAAATTATATAATTATACTAACTTGCCCTGATTTCTTCTGCAGAACCATCGTCCAAGGTCTGCTATTCCCTGACAGAGGAGAGTAGGACTGATTGAGGAGAATAATAAAAAAAAGGCACTAATGTAGCTAATATGTACATTTTTACATTTATCTTTTTCAAGAACATCTTAGTTGTTTGGATTTTTTAAAGCCAGGTGGAAGTTGATAAGATGTATTTGTGATGACCAAATGTTGAAAATTTTTTTGGAACTACCAAACATAGTAATTATATTTTGGCCATGAGTCAGTTGTATAAGAACAATAAGGCTATTTTAAAAAAAGATACCTGCCTAGAGCTACAGCTTCTATTGAAGACACCCTTATGTGAAAGCCTCAAATTATGAAATGGAGAGTAGCAAAAATACAACACACACTCATTTTATGGTACAAAAGCAGAAAATATGAACATGAAGATTAAGAAATGAAAATAACATATACACTAAACACATCACAACAGAAACAGGCTTTATTTCAACCAGACAAGTGAATACTTCAGTTAACATCGAGTTCTTCGAGACTTAACGATATGGCAATTAAAGATGGCGCTCAGGAGGCAGAGAAGGAAAGACGTGGCAAATTGTAGTTGCTTGCAAAGATCCCTTTCAACAATATGCTCAGTTCAAAAGGTTAATCAGTTCTAAGTCATTAGACCCCATGCGTTTTCAATATTTGTACAAGACTCTCCTTTGAAATTTAACCCATCAGTTCCAATGACATCTTTCGAGATAGAAAAAATACGTATAGAGAAATCAGTATCATGATTTTTTAATATTGGAAACTGAGATTGAAATACAATTTTCAGTTTGAAATATTTCAAATCAAAAAATGTTATTATTTAAGATGCCTTGTTACAAAGCCCCTACGTACATACGTGTACAAAACATATAGGTGTTATTACCTGACACGTCAACCCATGACTTTTCCCCCATCTCCCAATGTGAACAGTTAATCTACTGGGAGACTTTACCTGGGAAGTTCCAATGTCCTGCATAAGGATTTGCTGCCACTCATATGCTGGGTATGAATGAGGACATTTCATCAGAGAACATTTCAATTTAATATAACCTAACATAAAATAAAAACCCAACAAAACATTGTATATTAATTGTGTATTCAGAAGGGTGAAGACAAATTGCTTATCATTTTCTACTTTTGCCTGACTCATAAAATTCATGAACACTTTCGGAGTTTTCTCACCAAGGGCACTTTTGAGAGCCTTCGATCTCGTGCTTTATTCTTAGTGAGCTGGTCAGCCCCTTCACTGGTACAAACAATTGCATTAAAGAAAGGTATTGGAGGGGAGAGGGGGTCATCTGACGACAGAAACAGGGGGAAGGACTCTCTTTCTCCATAAGACATTCAAACAAAAAGAAACAAGACCAAAAAAAAAAAAAAAAGTAAATAAACAAACAAGATTGTGTTCACAGTAAAGCATGCCAGATTTGTAGTTTCATTTGAAACCAACAGCAAATCATGAAACGTCATGATGAATATAAGTAAAGGTAAGATCTCCTAGAGTAATTACAAAATGAAGTTAAAATTACCACACTGATCAGTAAACCCCAGAAGAAAAATAAAATAGCACTTACATTTCAGGTTCTTCTTAAACATCATACGAGGTTAATTTTTTCAAGGTTAATGCATAAAATTCATAGGTTTGGCCTCTCTGCACAAATGTGTGTGTGTGTGTTTTTTAAAAAATACAGTATACAGAAAAAACTCTTGTATTCCCCATTTTTGAATCATAAGCTCAAAACCCAAGAGTAAAAGATCAGCTAGAAGGATTTTAAATTATTTACAAATCCAGCAGGTTCATCTGCCATAATGGCTTGGCTTCCGTCCCATAGCGGCATCTACCCTCTCCAGCGGCAGGGCTCAGGTCTCTGTTCTCACAGGAGGCTCTTCCGTCCACTGTCACTGCTACTGGTCATCAGTCATCTTGAACAGTTCCAGCAGTGCCCCAACAGCTCCGAAATAACCCTACAAAAGCAATAGGAAAACTTGTGCATGGTTATCTCTAACCAGCCAAATACTTCCTGTTTTTCATAGTTCTAGGAATCCGCCCCCCAATGTTGTAGATAAGAAAGACTTCAAACCTGAATTCTGCCATACACAGTAAAATAATAACAATAATATTCAGTAGATATACCTGTTTTTCTTTTTTTTTTAGTGTTTATTTTTGAGAGAGAGAGAGAAAGAGTGAGAGTGGGGGGGGGGGCAAAGAGTGAGACGGGGAGACACAGAACCTGAAGCAGGCTCCAGGCTCTGTGCTGACTCGGGGCTCGAACTCACAAGACTCGAGGTCATGACCTGAACTGAAGTCAGGCGCTTAACCAACTGAGCCACCCAGGTACCCCGTATACCTGTTTTTCTATATTAAATACATTAGCTGATGTCAATAAAGTGCTTAGGAGAATTTTGGGCACTTAGTGTGTACTACATGAGTGCTGGAATTGTTAATGTTACAATTATTGCATTTTAATCTTTGCCATGGCAAAATTCATTGTTATTACCCCCATTTAACTGATGAGAAATGGCAGGTAATAAAGTAAATTAAATTTCCCTTTCAGGGTCACATCCTTGTGCCAGGGCTCAACCCTAAGGCTGTCTGATTTCAAGGTTGTGTCTCACAGGAGAGAACTCTAAGCTTCCCTCATTGACCTTGGAAAGGCATCTAAATCAGCCAGAGAGTCACTCTGCTCACCTGTAAAATAAAAGCCCATATTTCTGTGAAAACAAAAGGAAATGAAAACTAGAAATTTTTAGAGAACTTGGTTTCCCAAAGGTAGAAGAGTGCACTCATGTTGCCTGAGTCAACAGTCATCAGCAGAAGTGGGTGGCAACATGCCAGGCCTCATACTAGAGGGGAGGAGCTCCGCTTCCGCTACCACCAGCTAACATTTATTGAGGTTTCATAATATGCTAAAAATTGTTCTTAAAAAAAACCTTTTTAATGTTTATTTATATTTGAGAGAGACAGAGCACAAATGAAGGAGGGGCAGAGGGAAAGGGAGACACAGAATCCAAGCAGGCTCCAGGCTCTGAGCTGGCAGCACAGAGGCCGACATGGGGCTTAAACTCACAAACTGCGAGATCATGACCTGAGCTGAAGTTGGACACTTAACTGACTGAGCCACCCAGGCATCCCCAAAATTGTTCTTTTAAAAAAAGTTTTTTAAAATGTTTATTTATTTTGGAGAGAGAGAGAGAGAGAGAGAGAGAGGACGAGAAGGGGAAGGACAGAGAGAGAGGGAGAGAGACAGAGAATCCCAAGCAGGCTCTGCACTGTCACTGCAAATTGCAACGCAGGGCTCGAACCCATGAATAGTGAGATCATGACCTGAGCTGAAGCTGGATGCTCAACTGACTAAGCCACCTAGGCGCTCCTATGGTAAAAAACTGTTCTAAGGCCTTTACACGAATTTACTCATTCAATCTTCACAATAACTTCATTAGACAAATATTATTATCACCCCACTTTACAAAGCCAACACAAAGATGGAAAGGTAGAGTTATTGCCTAAGGTCTCCTAGTCAGTTAAGAGGCTGTGCTCTTAACTGCTTGGCTATTTCTCAATCCTACTAGTGGAATGAATGAGATGGAATGAGTGAGGACTCCTGAGGCAGGTCACTAAAGTCGCCCCACCAGCACCTCCCAAAAGATCTCTTTCCCCAGTGTCCTCCAGGAAGGCCTGCCTAAGCCAGAGTGAATTTAAGAATGCAGAGAATTTTCTGGGGCGCCTGGGTGGCTTAGTTGGTTAAGCGTCCGACTTTCGCTTAGGTCATGATCTCGCGGTTCGTGGGTTCGAGCCCCGCGTCGGGCTCTGTGCTGACTGCCAGCTCAGAGCCTGGAGCGTATTTCAGAGTCTGTATCTCTCTCTCTCTCTGATCCTCCCCTGCTCACGCTGTCTCTCTCTCCTAGAAATAAATAAAAATATTAAAAAAAAAAAAAGAATGCAGAGAATTTTCTGAGAGTTATTTACAAGGGACTATAAAAATGCCCCACTTTCATCGGCCATAAAGACTGAGTTACGATATGTGCATAACAAAGCAAAGCCATAGTCCACAGAAGCCTAGGATTGTACAAATGAACACAGGTGAGTGCGTTTTCACCTACAGAAGCCACTTTCCCCAAAATGCTGGATCTCAACTCCCTATTTTACCACCAATTAACTACCCATGTGACCTTGTAGATGGCTTTTAATCCCTGATGGCTTCCAGGGTTTGTTTCCGGCCATAGTTGAAGACAATCTGGACTTAGGGTTGCCAGATAAAATACAGATAAATGCCAGATAAAATAACTGTGTCCTGTGTTTTTAATCACTAAATATGGCAACTTTTGCTGAACTAGATCAGTGGTTTTCTTTTTTCATTTTAATTGCTTTTTTAAAGCTGAGGTGCTTTTTTCTTTTTCAAACAAAATCTTCGGTGGGAATGATAAATTAGCAGATAAAAATGGAGCTGCTCTGGTTGGGGGGAGGGGGGTGAAAATTCTGGGACTCTATTCCCCCCCCCCCCCAAAGTTATATCACTCCATGCTGTAATTTGGTTGGAAAAAAAAAAAAACAAAGAGGCTTTCTTTAGTATTAAGTTCTATCACTAAGCCTTAACTCTTTCATATTTAAATTTCTATTGTTTTAGTTGCTTTAAGCAAACAAAATATGGGCTTAGAAAACTCTAAGTAACTTATAAATGCAATGGCGACTTTTCAAATAAATAGTTCAGTTTGGAGAGGAGAAAACTGTGACGGTACTTATTCATTACAAGTTTGGGATATTGGTTCCCTCAAAGTTTTTTTCTGCTACAATACACCCCAGGGACTACATACCCCCTGTGATAAATAAACTGTTGCTCTCTATTATACTGATTTTATTTGTTTGTTTGTTTTTAAGTTTATTTATTTTGAGAGAGAGAGAGCACAAACAGGGGAGGGGTAGAGAGAAGGAGAGACAGAATCCCAAGCAGGCTCCGTGCCATCTGCCATCAGGGCAGAGCCTGATGCAGTCTCAAACTCATAAACGGTGAGATCATGACCTGAGCAGAAATCAAGATTGAGTCGGATGCTTGACCAACTGTGCCACCCAGGCGCCCCTCTACAGTATTGATTTTATTTTTTTAATTTTTTTTAAAATTTTTTTAATGTTTTATTTATTTCTAGGAGAGAGAGAGAGAGAGACAGCATGAGCAGGGGAGGGTCAGAGAGAGAGGGAGTCACAGATTGAAACAGGCTCCAGGCTCTGAGCCAGCAGTCAGCACAGAGCCCGATGCGGGGCTCGAACCCACGAACCGCGAGATCATGACCTAAGCGAAAGTCGGACACTTAACCAACTAAGCCACCCAGGCACCCCTACAGTATTGATTTTAAAGAGGGTGGCGGAGGAGGTGGGGAAAAGAGAGGGAGTTCCCTCACTTACTGTTAGAGACCTCTGATTTATAGGATTGTAGAAACTCTGTATAAGGGACTCTCAGATTTAACTGATCTCCACTTCCTGTGCAGACAGGCTGCCAATGCCTAGGGACACCAGCGTCTCTGGGCCACCAGGCTACTCTGAGCAGCCTTGGCACTTCTGTTCCTGCCAGTAGAGTTGTCTGCTTGCCAAGAGTCAGCTGTGTTTAACCTCAGATTTGTTTATGACAGTTTTATTGTTAATGTCATAATCTAATTTTATTATGTATCATCTAAACCAATAAAAAGAGTACAAAATAAATGGACATTTCCTTGAAAATCCAGTTAAATTCTTAAACATTTTTTTAATGTTTATTTATTTTTGAGAGAGGGGGAGGGAAAGAGAGAGAGGGAGGCACAGAATCTGAAGCCGACTCCAGGCTCTGTCAGCACAGAGCCCAACGCAGGGCTCGAACCTATGAACCATGAGATCATGACCTCAGCTGAAGTCAGATGCTTAGCCAACTAAGCCACCAGGTGCCCCCAGTTAAATTCTTGAAAAAGATCTAAAAAAGCAGTCACAAACCATTACTCTCTACATAGGTGGATACCGCACATGAAAGGTTGAGGGGAAAATCTAGGATTATGCAACCAAACTGCATCGTAAGTATCTTTAATTTCTTAATCCATTTTAAAGATGTAAATCAGAAGTCACAGAAGGTATATAATACTTGTGGATTATGAAAAAAAAGGATTAACGGCAGCGGTGCCAGGGTGGCCCAGGTGGTTAAGCCTCTGGCTTTGGCTCAGGTCATGATTTCATGGTTCATGGGTTCAAGCTCCGCACTGGGCTCTGTGCTAACAGTGTAGAGCCTGCTTGGGATTCTCTCTCTCTCTTTCTCAAAATAAATAAATAAACTTAAAAAAAAGAAAGGATAACAGGGGAGTTCCAGTCAGCAGAACCCATGCTCAAAAATAGGCCTTGGTACTACCCTGAAAAATTGGTGAGTGAATGAACATTTACACATTTTATGTTAAAATGGTTAAAGTAGAGAGATATTTTTTAATGGTTATCCATTTCATCTGATTTTTAAAATTACTATGAACCAGCTACAAGTCCTAATTGTTGGAGAAGAAAGCTCCCATCTTATACATAGTTCTTCTTTATCCTTTGTCTAAGTGCAAAGTTTAAATAGCAACTCTTTCTCTTGACCAATTTTAAAACTGAGGTACTCACTGAAAGTTAGAAAATGCCCAATTCACTCCACACAGGATGACTAAGTCCATGTGGACTTGACCTACCTCATGTTCTAGAAACAGGGCTTTTAGCTGTCCTTTGGACCAAAAATCCATTGCATAGGCTAGCAGTTTCATGGAGATCATATTGATTCTGAGAAAATTCCCAACGAACACAACTCTGTTAATATTCTGGAAAAAAAAAATGAAAGGAAAACAATGAAATGATATTATAAAAATAGCAGGTAGCAAAGACCCAGTGTTCTATGCTTAGTGTACTCCCAGGATCTTCAACAGTGGATTTTTTCTAAGTGAAATTATTTCCACATTTCCAAGATGAAGTTGAACAAACTTCATAGTGCATTCCTCAAGAATGACAGGGTCGGATTCTGGTTGGGCGAGGCAGACCCTTCTATTGGGCTCCTTGGCAGGTATTGTGTTAGATTGACTGAGGTCTGATGTGAAATTCAGCTACCAACACATATATATAAAATGGTGACTGGAGTTCCATTTCAGCTAAATCTGCTTGTGCCTTCCTCCAATCCCTCAAACTTCTGGCTCTAAAATATTATTATGACCAACTCATAAATAAAACGGCCGTGGTATGGGTTTTTCATCTAACAAGTTTGCCCCATTTGCTCTATACCAAACCCTGGAATACAAAAACAAATGACTCCCAGTCTCTGCCCTTAGGATATATTGTAGCCTATCCTGTTTGGTCAGCATGTGGGTTAAAATATGGAAAAGAAAAATATGCTTATAGTTTTGTTGACATGGATATGGATTTGCCTTCTGCACACACACTTAACATGGAGCTCAGCCTGTCTACCACGCAGAAGCTGGGTACCATGCACTCATTCACAGAGCCAGTTCCTATGGTCACTTATGTCAAATGGAAGAGAGTCTTAGAAGTTGACATTATTTTCTGTTCAGTCTATCAGGAAGAATCAGGATCTAGGAACATGGCCTCTTAACTGTCTCCAGTTTTGACAATGTGAATTGATGAGCCCATTCATTACTGTTAAAATTTTCCGTGGGTGGAGGAGTGGGAGGTGGTTTTAATAAGTTTCCATAAGTAAGAACGGTAGCTACAAACTGTCCAGACTGAGATGTGACAAAGAAACGCTCAAAGCAAGAAACTCAGATTAAAGAAGAACTTAATGAAATTTAGGAGTTCTGCCTTTTTCCCTAAAACAAGGAAGTCCAATTGGGGCTTGTCCAAAACCCCAGTCCTGCATGACTCTGGTAATGAGCCAGAAGGAACAGAATGACAATAAAAGCTGATGGACAGTCCTCATTTCCAATAAATTCCAATTGGGTCAAAGATAGGACTATAAAAGAGAGAGAGGGAGGGAGAGAGAGAGAGAGAAATGACTAGAGGAAACTTCAGGAAATTATTTTTTAAAAATAATGTTGAAGGGGCACCTGGGTGGCTTAGTTGGTTAAGCATCTGACTCTTGATTTCCGTTCAGGTCATGATCTCACGGTTCATGAGATTGACCCCTGAGTTGGGCTCTGCTCTGACAGCACAGAGTCTGTTTGGGACTCTCCCTCTCTCTCTGTCCCTCCCCCACTTGCATGCATGCTCTTTTTCTTTCTCTCCCTCTCTCCTTCAAAATAAATAAGTAAACATTTATTAAAAATAAAAATAACATTGCAGTAGGAGAGAGAAAACACTCACATGTATTCTCCTGTAAAAAAACAAGAGGCAATGTTTCCACAAGGGCATATTAAAGTATATGAGGTCGACTGATATAACGTCTGGCGTTTACCTTTAAATATTTTAGCAAAACAGAGAGGAGGATCAAAAGGAGCAGAGGGAGGAGGAAGAAGAAAACAAATAAGGTGTGCATGGCAAAGTCCTGATAACCGCGGAGGCTGGTTAATAGATATAAGGAGGTTCTTTATGCCATTCTGCTCCTTTATGTAGGCTTACCAATTTTCGTAATTAAAAGTTGACAATCAAAGCAAGACATATAATAGTATGTACAGGGTGAATTGTATGAGGTGAGATTGTATCTCAATAAAAGTGTTGTTTAAAAAAAGAATGTTGTATAGAGTTTGCTGCCTTTGAAAGGAAATGTTTCTCCTTTATTGCATACAATATAGAATAAAACCCCAAAAGTGAAGAACAATGGCTAACTTCAGTGAGGCTAACATTTCCAGATGGGTGGAAATGCTTACTCACTTCCTTATTTACCCTTTTGGTGTCTTTAGAACTCTGTGATATGTGTGTGTTTTAATGTTTATTTTTGAGAGAGAGAGATTGAGAGAGAGAGATTGAGAGAGAGAGAGAGCAGGTGCACGAGTGGGGCAGGGGCAGAGAGAGAGGAGGGAAGAGGATCCAAAGCGGGCTTCGAGCTGACAGCAGAAAGCCCGATGGGGGGCTTGAACTCACGGACTGTGGGATCATGACCTGAGCCCAAGTCCGATGCTTAACCAACTGAGCCCCCTAGGCGCCTCATGTGTTTGTATTTTCTATTGAAAAATATAAATAAAAAGTTTGATGTTGATGGAGAAGTACTTTACAGGATTCCAATAATCACAGCAAAAATACTTCAGAATCAATCAGTAAATGTGGTGCCCCTCTGTGAAGTAGCTGAGTTCGGAGGCTCTCCACTCAGTGACTCCAGCGCACTAAGCAATGACTAAAGAGCTCACACTACGGCTCTCACGGGAAACCCTGCTGCCACTTTGTGGTGTGCCCACAGGGAGCCTGCACTGGCAGGCCACCGACCAACAAAGCCCTTGCCCAAGGTGCCCAGTGAGTGATTCCTCTCATCGGCCATACTTTTAAAAACTACCATTTTTGTATACTCCAACAATAAATGGTATTGAAGTTGAAATCAAAAGTGAAAAATAAAATCAGTTGCCTTCCCCCTAAAGCGGTTATGATTTCTGTAAAAAGGCCTGCTGGCTCACTCAAGGTGCATGGAAAGCAGGGGAAAGGGCATCTATGCCTCTGTCGGGCAGGGGACATTACCATCTAACTGACCTTTGGGAGTATCTGAGGACAGCCCACTACACACATATTAGTCAGGCCTTGTTTGGCTACTTGGAAAAACTCCCTTTAAAGGTTAAGGTCAAAAAATAAATCCTCTGTTAAAATGAGTCCCATGACTGAAGTGGACTTTGAAAGGCACATGGCTGGAATACATTCTTTCTTTCCATTTCAGCCTCACATTTAAACTCCATCTCAAAAGGGGACTTAAAAAAGTGGTGACCCTGAGCCACAAGACCAGTGACATATTCTATTCAATGCAACCTGAGAGCTCAAAGGCAGGGCTGGTCTCTCCCATCATAAAGATGGCTTCTTACGGTGTTGAAAACAATGCTCTTCAACTGGGAGGAGACCTGGGACAGTTTCAGCAATACCGGTAACGTTCCGTCTCTTGATCTGAGCGGTGGTTATAAAGGTGTGTGTGTGTGAACATTCAAGCTGTACACTTAGGATCTGACTGTCTTCTGTATGTACTTCTATTAAAATTATATTTTTAAAAACTCTATTACTGATGCGACTGTGATTCTTGAACATAACTTCTATTACCTGTTGCATATTGCATGTCCTTAACCCCTTTCTTGTCTTCCTAACACAACTCAGTGAGAACCATTCTACTTTACGCGTCTTGAATTTCAGAAGAGTGTTTCTATTTTCCTGAAGGAATTTTGCAATGTTTCAATCATGTTACCAAAACTTTTGTCACCAGCTCTGCCCCTTCTTGTGCCTGGGGCTCTGGCGGGCCTCGGCTGCAGCAAGCTCTCTATGCTTTGATAGCCCTGTACAATGCTGCTTGAACTCCATGCCACAAGGCAACACTGTAAAGAAGCTGAAAGCAGAGAGAATGTCAACTATTGCAAGTGGAACATTTTACCTGCAATTATTTGCAAGGATGTGCAAAGTCTTTCCCTCACAGTTCAGTAGGTACGTGGTAATAATGATGGCTAGAGAGGCTGTGGGATGCATTGTAATTTTACCTGGTTTCCATGATTGGATGGCTTATGACGTATTATCCAGTGCCTCTTAAAAATAAGACACATATTCCTCTCCATTTCCCAAAACACACCCTTCATGTTCTACAAGATGTGATTAGGACAAAGGGCAGCCTTCCCAAGGATCTATAATTTTTTAAGGGTCAACAGTTTTGCACTGCTAAAGATGATGTGTATGAATGACACAAGGCTTTCTCTGGGTTAAGGCCTTACCTCATTCAACGCACACATCCGAGCAATGGAGCCAATGTTGTTGGTGATGGTGACCAGTGTGGCTCGGGCGAGGTCTTCTTTGCTGATGGAATCTCGCTTTTCCTTACTCATCATGTTGCCAAAGCTATGTTGGAAATATTAGCGAGAGTGTTCAAAATCATCCCCAGGCAGGTCCCCCGCTTTCACCAAAGTACTGTGGAAACCTTTATGAATAACTGCTCAGATTCAGATGACCTGATTTGGCTACCATGGTTTACAAGCAGACAGGCTTATGATATGAATGTTTGGCTGACCCCCCTTTTTTTTTTTTAAATAGGGGCAAAGTAGCATGGCTATTAATGGGGAAAACATTTATTTTAATGCTCCCTAGATATATTGACACGAATGGAACAGGGGAAACTGTTGCATTTTTCCAGAACCTTCTTTCAAAGCTGCCCTATTTTAAGCACAAGCATCAAGGGCTAAACATCTCAGTGCTTCATAAAGGGCGGGAGATCAAGTCCGAGCTCCAATGACCATAGATACTTGCACCAGGCTGGTGGGTTGACATCTTAAAAATAATTAAGTGAATGGCCAGGGTGGAGAGGTTGCCTCGTTTACATACTATGGCTCCTAGCTACTTCATCTCTACCTTGATGCTACAGCGGATCCTTGAAGGCCAAATCGTTCATAGTCTCCTCCGTAAATGTCCTTCACCAGCTTATCAACATTGGTGCTGTCGCCTTTAGCTGCCATTTCCAGAGCTTCTTCAAAGGTCTCACAACCAGTCAGCAAGCAACATAGGCCTAGGAATGTTCCACCTCCAAGACTGAAGGAACAATAAGGTTTATTTTTAAATTTTATTTTAAGATATGCCCATCCGAGTCCCCAACTACATCAAGGTCACTAATACGGGTTAATAAAAACAGGAGAAGAAAATCAAAGGGGCACTTGAATTTTATAGAGGGTGCAAAATAGCCTTAAGGTAGATTGGATTATTTAAAAAAAAAAGAAAAAGGGCAGAGGCTAAAAAGAAACACCAAGGAACACTTGCCCCTGAATTGAAGAATAAAACCAGAGAAACTCTCACTGATTTCCGTTGTGAGACCTTCAGCTAGCCACTAACCTAAGTACCTCATTGAGTCTTTTCACCTGTAAGGGCCAAATCAACATCTCTCTTACTTGAGTGGTCTGAAAGCAGCAAATAACCAGAGAAATGACTGCTATGGGGGAAAAAATGTAGCTGCATACAAATACTCAGAAAAAAAAACCTTGTGTGTACACAAAGTTCACAAATGCAGAGCCAGACTGACTTAGGGCTATGAGGAACAGCCAGTCCAGAAGCCATATCTTTTACCTTGACCTCGATTCTCTGGCAGATATCTCATTGAACCTTCTTGGAAATTTCTAAAAGGAAACCACTGATTGCTCACGTGTTCGATTTTTTCTGGTAGACTCTGGAAAAGGTTATTAATGTTTTACTTAATACCCAGTAGTCAAAAATTTTAACGAAGTTCGTAAAATAGGGTTCAATGCTCAACTATGTTTTTAAAGCTTTCAGTCTCTTTGGGGGAAAATTCTTCTAAAATAGTCTCTTTAGACAAAATTAGAAACTAATTATGGTAGTTGAGAATGAACTTAATTGTGTATTGATGTCAAAGTTATGTGAAAGAAAGAGTAGCAGGCTTGGAATAGAGCTATCACCAGTGACCTCCCGGCAGGAATGGAGTCACTGACCCTGGCCTGGGTTTCACTCTACCACGCAGATGAGCAATCGCAGAAGAATAAATTGCTCATGTCAGTTTTGTCCTCAAGCTCCAAGAGCTGCTAGCCCCGGGCATCCCATGTGTATGTTTTGGTACCAGCTTTTTAAATCTAAGAGAAAATTCAAGTTGAGATGAAGGTTATTTTAAAATTAAACTTGAAGCAAGAATCTTCAGGGGGAAACTATATTTTCTGTCAATAACTGTCAACAAGAAAGTGACAGATTATAGACAGGCACGCAGTTCTTTAAATTATAACTAAAATGAAACTGTATGTGACATTTCTTAAATAGTGATTCTTACAAAAACACATGCTTGCTTGAAACTATAGCTCCTGGTGGACAATTACATAGCTAGGTACCACCAAGGGTAGCTACCCACACTGAAGGTGCAGTAGCAGGAGGAAATAAAGAGATCCATGGACATCACCGCCTTGACAAGTCAGTCACAGGAGACATTCTGGACTTCCTCTAAGAAAGTTTAGCTACGTTTAACATGGGGTGGCATGCACGTTGTTGGCTTCAGCCTGCCCTCCAAAGCTAGTGTATTTCAATGGGAACAATTTTTGGTTTGTGTGCCATCTATATTTTTAAGTCATTTCTCATGCTTCTAGCTGCTTTCATCCACGCTAATGACCTTTCTTTGAACATCGGGTATTCCTGTTCATCAAGGCCGTCAACAACCTACTCTCAGTCTAGGCAACCGAAGACATTGGCAGACTTAGAAAGAAGGCAATTCGTCAACTGATGTGTTGGTATGAGTGGAAACGGATGAGGGCTTTGTGTGGCTGGAAGATGACCTGTGGCTCCAGACAAAGCATGGGGAAAGCGAGCATGCATCTGCATCGCTGGCACGCTGCAGATGGGAGGAAAGGACGCACAGTCGCAGAAGGAGCACTTTATTAATGTCCCCAGCCTGCCCACCAGGACTTAATCAAAGAGATTCTGTCATTCGTGATCAGGTACATTTGTTTGTTTGTGCAGACACGATAAGACCCTCAACAAACTGGAGACAAGAACATATTGCTAGGAGCAGCTGTTGAATAGCATTATTATTATTATTATTATTTTTTAAAAACCCAACAACCTTGTAGTGAGGGATGTTAGGGAAAAGAAGAAACCTTCAATTACTGACTGCTTGTGCCCTTAAAATAAATTTCAGAACAATGAAATGAGCTGTGCTATTACTTTCACTCAAGTTCCAAAATTCTTTACATTCCCCTTTTAATAATCTGCACATTCCAACAATGTCAACTGTAAAGTCCTCTTTTTTCTTTGGCTTTTACAATAAAATTGAAGTAGTGTCAACAGAAAAAAAAAAAAGCATCATTACCTAATCTAGGATGAGATAAAATTACACATAACATGAAACAAACCATTTAAAATCGTATGTTTAAGCAGCACCTGAGTGGCTCAGCTGGTTAAGCCTCCGACTTCGGCTCAGGTCATGATCTCACAGTTGTGAGTTCGAGCTCCACGTCTGGCTCTGTGCTGACAGCTCGGAGCCTGGTGCCTGCTATGGATTCTGTGTCTCCCTCTCTCTCTGTCCCTCCCCTGCTCATGCCCTATCTCTCTCTCTCTCTCTCGTTCTCTCAAAAATAAATAAGCATTAAAAATAATAATAAAATAAAATCGTATGCTTAAAAGAAACTGACCTCCTGTAATGATGTGGCTTCCTAAAAATAAAAATATTTGAGAAAATAGAGTATAACATAATAACAAGAAACCTGGAGTTATAGCCATCAGTTCATGATAGTAGCAAACTTAAAGCTGACGCCATTTGCTTAGATCAGTGCTTCTCAAAGTGGGTTTCACACACTGATGTTCGCTGCCGGCCATAATAGTTTATATCAGTGATTTTGTAACTTAAAAGCCTTTGTCAGAACAACTCCGGTTAGATGAGGAGGAGCTGCAGGCCACAGAACTTATGTTTCCTTCCCTTCCCCTACCTGGGGCAACCTCCCAAAAGGGCTCTCTATTAACGTTCAGTCTACTGAAGGTTTTCAACTACTGGTTGAAAAACACTTTCAGGGTAACTTGGACATCCAGACAGGATCTGTTGATGGTTGCAACGCACCGGTCATTCACGGGCACTTACCAATAATGGGAATTTATGAGCATGATTACACATGTAATAGAAGCCAAACACCACAATTAGCTCCTTAGCAGCTGTTCAAGAAGATGGTCCAGATTCCTGGAACTTCCAAGTTTGAGACAATAGAACTGTGTTTGTCATTCATGAATCTGCTAAGTGCTAATAAATGAAATTATAAATACCTCTAATTGAGGAAAAGTGTTTATTTAGCTTGATGTTACCTTGGGACTAGCTCTGACCAATTCAACGACTCCTTCTGGGAGGAAGTCTGTAGTTTCTTCAAAATTATACTTGTATTAGGAGCTCACTCTCTAAGGTAAAACCAGTTTGGCTGAAATATTCATTTGTCTTTGACACTCCTGACAGTCCTAATGCAGCCGTGGGACAGCCGTGATTCTTCTGTGAGCGAGGAAGCTTAGTTCTGTATGCTCACTGAGAAAATGTATGCCTAGTAGCGATTAACATTCTATATTCTGAACACAAGGAGGAGTCAGTTGGAGTGTGTGTGTGTGTGTGTGTGTGTGTGTGTGTGTGTGTGTGGGTGCGCATGCGCATGAGCGCACACGCACATGCCATGGTTCCTCAACAGCAGTACTATTGACTTGAGGGGTCAGTACTTTTTTGTTCTGGGGGGCTTCCCTGTGCTTTGTAGGATATTTAGCGGTGCCCTTGGTCTCTTGCCACTAGATGCCAGTCATACCCCACATCCGATTGTGACAACCAAAAAAAAAAAAAAGTCTCCAGACATTGCACAAATCTCCTGGGGGAATACATCCTCGCTTCCCCAGTGATGAATCACACTGACTGATGCTGACCCATCACAGAGCACAGAAATCCACCAGAAAAAACAGTGTTCTTCTCCTAATGAGGAAGTAATGGTACAGGATTTCAGTGCTAGAAATGCCCGTAGAAACGACCTAAGAAACAACCCCTTTCATGGCACAAACAAGGACGCTGAGGCCCAGAGAAGTTACAAGATATCTTCATCTATTAAAAACAACGGGCTTGATATCATGTCCAAAAGCACATTCCACCTGGCACTGGTTCCTTAAGTTATTCCTCCAAAAACAGGTTCTGTGGTCCAACGAGTGGGAGAAACACTTCATACCAAATCCTTCACTTAGAAGTAAGAAAAACTTACTAAACTTTGTTGACACTAGCACTTCTCCAAGACTTCTGGCCCTGGATTCTTTTTCCCCTGTTGAATCGCTACAAACAGGAAGCTGGGGACATCTGCCCTTGGGCGTGTGCGTGCACTAAAAGCAAGGCACCCTGGCCAAGGGCAGCTGTGGCACTGTCTTCCTGTCACTTGCGCTTGCAGATCCCCTGTGCCGTGTGCCAACCATTCCAGCTTTCAGCTCGAACATTTAACTCCGGGTAAAAAACATTTTTTTGTAAACCCCATTTGGTTTACTGGTTGCCAGGGTGTTTTATTTCAAGCCATGCATCCTGTGCTAGACACCCAGGAAATTCTAAGACAGGGTTTCTTCTGAAGCCCTCTCTGACCATCCCAAGCATCCTTTCTTCTGGATTCTACTTTCCTATTGTCCCCGCCATTCATTCGGCACTGAACACGGACTGCCTTTTGCTTTGGTGTGTGTTCATCCTTCTCCCCTCAATCTGACCAGTTTCCAGCAAGGCAAGGACTATGTCTTGTTCTCCTTTATATAAAGCATTCTCTTACTATCTTAACATATCATGCAATAAACCCTTGCTGGTTGGCTGAGGAGTGTAAGATCTTTCTTTTAGAAACGTACTCAATGCAATGAAACCGGTCTTCAAGGGAGAGGCCTGGGTTTAAGTACAGAAAGATTCTTCTAGTAGAAACCACGTTTACCTGGTCCCTGTAACTCTTTTATAGTTGTCCTTCGAGTATACTGCTAGGATGCTGACCCCCGAGCCCATGTTCACCAGCAACATAGGGTACGGGTTAGCAAGGCAGTACGGCTTTTTTTGACACAACTCAGGGTCTGTGGGATTTTCAAAATAGTAACATTCCGGCTTGCCATTGAAGCCAATGGAGTCGACGTAAAGCAGGCCCTGAATCAGACAGTCCAGTTCATCCAGTTTATGGAGCTGCAGGTCAGCAATCTGAAAGAGAACAAAACCTCATGAGAGAGGCTGTGACCACTGGAGGGAAGCTCCCGAGGGTTTTAGCTGGGCTTAAAATGTGTTATTAACAGTAACAGCGTGGCAATATTTTTGAAGCACCACGTTGTGAAATCTGGTTGTAGTCATTCTGCCGGAGAAGCTTCTGTGCGGGACATGGTGCCTGCCCAGAGTGGGAAGTGAGGGACAGGAAGTTGCCTGCTTGCTGGGAAAGCATCCAGTAGCATGTACCATGGGTTGAACTGGTGGCCTTGAGAGGTATGTCCGAGTCCTAACTTTTAGAGCCTGTGAATGTTACCTAATTTTGAAAAAGGGTCCTTAAGTTAGGGATCCTGAGATGAAGAGAACATCCTGGATTATCTGAGTGGACTCTAAATCCATTGACAGGTTTCCTTATGAGACACACAGGAGAGAGCTGATGGCCAGAGGAGAAGGCCACGTGAAGATGGAGGCAGAGATTGGAGTACTGTGGCACGGGCCAATGAACGCCAACAGCCACCAGAAGCTGGAAGAGGCAAGGAATGGATCTGCCCAACAGCCTCTAAAGGAAGCGTGGTCCTGCCACCACCTTAACGTAGGTCATCTGGCCTCCAGAACTAGGGCTCAATCCATTTCTGTTGTTTTCAGCCACTACATTTGGGGTAATTTGTTACAGCAGCCACAGGAAATGAACAGAGCACATCACTAAGATGGGGCTCCCCTCCAGGGCGGGCAGTGAGAATGTTCTGAAAGCAGAGAGAACCCCACACTTCTTTGACGTGAGGTCCTTAGGGAGGTAGGCTGAGCCTGGGAGCTGGAGACAATCACCTTTGAGCCCTCAAAACCCAACTCTCCTTTCTCAGGCCTGGGCTTTGGGGTTTAGGTAGACTTGGCTTTGAATTCTAGCTCTAACCTTAACTGAGGGATGTGCGCAAGTTATTTAACTTGTCAAGCCTCAGCTGCCTCTCTGAAAATGGCAATGATATCCACTGTAGAGTGTAGCTATAGAGATTTCATGATAGTAATATATGTACAAAGAGCTCAAAAGTTGTTGGCTCTTTTATTAATAGTGGAGGTGGTCCTAAAGTGCCTTTCCATGCTCCTCTGAGACAAAAAACTCCATTCTCCAAGGTAAAGGGGAAAAAAAGTAAATGGGGGATGAGTTGGCTGGGGGGGCAGGCTTAGAGGAGAATGGCTGCTTTGCATCCTCAAAAGTTAAATTCATGGCCCCCAAGAGTAGTAGTATTACTGGTCCATATGTCTGGGTTGAGGGTCATTTCCCATGGACTAGAAAAGTAAAATTAAATTAAATAAAAAAGTAAAATAATTTTAAAAAGAAAAAAGGAAAGAAAATCTAATAATCACCAACATGACACCAAACCAATGAAGGAAGATAATTTGTCAGGTCTAACTTAAATTAAAAAAAAACAAAAAACTTTGGAGGTGCCTGGATGGCTCAGTGGGTTTCCCTCGGTAGTGGGTTTCCCTCGCTAGCCACAGCTAGCAAACAGCTCCCAGTGGCTCCCTGTTCTCTTGTCTCCATGATGCAAACTGCTTCTGGGATCTGGAAACAACCTATACAAGTGCTATACTTAGATCTTTTGCCAAAAAGGCACTGTCTTCATTACAAAAGTTAGCAGCTGGAAAAACCTTTGACTTCATATCACTCATCTGAATTTTCCCATTCAACAAAATCCACTAAATCTATATTTACAGAGCAGAATTAGTTTGAATAGGTTACCAGCAAGGTGGTACAAGTTTTCTTGATACAAAGAAACAATCATTCTGGTTTTTTTTAATCTTGTTATTTAAAGATCTAATTGGCTTTACTCAATGATTCGTGAATTGGGGGGCATACCATCTAGCAAGTAGAAAGGGGGTCCCCAGAAACATCATCTTAAATGACCTTGCTGATAAGATAAATCTGTCTCATACATGATTCCAGACATTTCCTTCTTTACCAAGTGAAAATTTGGGGTCTGATACAAGTAATTATACATACTTTAAGGGTGTAATGCTTTAGGTATAAGACTACCTGGAGACCTGAAAAGATTGTATGACACCTAGGAAACCCCATGCTCTTCCGCTTAGAGCATTAATCACATTCTGGCTTGTTTTCTGGTTCATCAGGTGCCCCCGAGCACAGTGCTCAAAGGCCTGTCCCTGTAATTGCTTAATAAACATTTCTCAAATGGGACAGGGAAAGCTAGCACTTCTCAGATCAAACCAAACTGAAAAGTAACAATTTCATCAGCCAGTCTTGGGATCATAGGTTAACCTACTTAAAACTTAATCAGAGGCCCATCAACCATGTTGACAGGCATGCCCAAAGCCAACATCACAAACACAGACAGAGACACAGGGTGTCCGGCTGGACATCCTGAACCTATGCTGTAGGAAAAGAAAAATCTCTCAAGGCAAATAAGCTAAGCACATACAACTTTGATATGAAAGGAAACATTGTTATCTCATCTTTCGCATCAATGTCATTTTCAGGGCGCCTGGGTGGCTCAGTTGGTTAAGTGTCCGACTCTTGGTTTTAGCTCAGGTCATGATCTTGCCCACAGGTTTGTGGGTTTGGGCCCCATGTCAGGCTCTTCGCTGACAGTGCTGAGCCTGCTTGGGATTCTCTCTCTCCCTCTCTCTTTGTCCCTCTCCCACTCCTTCTCTCTCTCTCTCAAAATAAATAAATAAACATTTAAAAAATTTCAAATAAAGTTCTAGCAGCAAATAAACCTCTCCGTTATACATTTTACTGAGGGGTGGGTATTTCCGAAGCCTGGGTCATGCATCCCAAACTACGAAACAGAAATAAGTCACTTTCAGAGACCTACAGAGACCTCCCTCAAAAGTCTTCACCATTTAGAAAAAAGTCCAGGCTCCCAAGTGTAAGCAATGAGCCAAATCCTTACTTGGATATTCAAATAGGCCAACTGAAATTTAGAACAAGATGGGAATTACTCCTCAGACTTTGGAGTTTGTAAATACAACTACATGAACTTTGTAGAAAGCCTGAAACAGCACATTCAGATCCAATGGAAAAACACTCATTCTCCAAAACACGCTTTTAGTTTTCTTGTATCGGGGGTAACAAATGCAAATGCCTACAGGAGACAGTAAGGTACCATAAAAGAGTGAAGCCCTTGAGTAGATGTAAAGTAACAGGATGATGGGATTGTTGTACACAGGACCATACACGCATAGTTACAATTCACCTGCGGCCCACTGTTGCCAGATGGTAAAGGGGGCTCAGTGCAATTAATCCTCAAAAATATTGCAGGCCAACCAAACATTTCTGTGGGCTGATTCTGGCTTCTGTTCTACTAATTTTATATGTATTCTAATGCTCATCCCTATAATGGGTCTTAAATGATGACAAACCTGGAACATCAGATCCAGCAAACATGCAGTTGAAGCTATAACTAATGTGAACATAACCTTGTAACCAAGGTGTGCTGGTAAATGTTTAACAACCAGCTCTCTGGGAGCAAAAGCCCTGGTTTAGAGCATTTACCGATTTCTGTGGCATAACTGTCCCCACAATGGCTAATTTCAAGCTACCAACATGATGTCACTAAATAGAGTTGGGAAGACAGACACACAATGAGCTCTCATAAGCCAGTAGGAACGGGTCCCAGCACCCCACTGCTTGTAAGGCTCCTTATCACTTCCAGAAAGTATGGGTTCTGCCAATTCCTAAATAATTAAGCTTAAACTACTCCCCAAATATAAAAGCAACAAACTTAAGCTTGTCCTAAGACCCAAACTCTATGTAAATAATGGAAGCTAATAAAAATTTGTATGATCTCCTCTGTAAGACTTGAGGCAGGGAAGCTATTTTGCAGATGAAATACATCATCAGCTGTTGAGTGACCTATTCCGGATCCCAAGGCTGGCAAGTAGTGGAAGAGGTAGAGTAGAAAAAACTTTCAGACTACAGCTATGAAGAACTCACATCATCGTGCCCAGTACTAAAGTCACCCAAGCAAGTGTATGGGTGCAATGTGATCCTCAGACTACAGGACCCATCAGAATCACCAGGAGAGTTTGTTGAAACACAGATCATTGGGCTCACTCCCAAGGTTTCTGACTGTATTTCTAACAATACCCCAGATGATGTTGATGCTGCTGGTCCTTGGATCACACAGTATTAGGAGCTGAAGAGCTGGGATGAGTCCATGACCCCAGAACAGTGAGAACAGGCATTCATTCAGTAAGGTCACAGACTTTCCCTGATAGCACCTGTCCTATCTAACTCACAGGGCTACCTTCAGCAATCAAACGAGGGGCACCTGGGTGGCTCCATTGGTTGAGAGCATCCATCTCTTGATTTCAGCTCAGGTCACGATCCTAGGGTCGTGGGATCAAGCCCTGTGTGGGGCTTTGCAATGAGCATGGAACCTGCTTGAGATTCTCTCTCTTTCTCTCTCTCTCTCTCTCTCTCAAAAAAAAAAAAAGAAATATTTTGTGTGAAAATATTTTGGCTACCACAAAGAACTATACACATGGGTTCTAATTATGTGAGAAGAAAAATAATTTGGTACTTCTCTTGAGCTGAAAGTCACTGTTCCACTATTGGAAACACCATTTCCACAATGAAGACTCCAATTTGTAGAGGGAGTTCTATGATACCTGTATGCTAATATTAGAAAACATATGGGTCCCAAACACAAGGCATGCTTAGGATACAACTGTGAAAGGTTCTCCTTATGTGCTACAGCCCAGTCTGTCAAAAATAACTAAATAAAGAGTTAAATAGATAAATCTGGTAAAAAACCATCCCAAGAGGTTCCCCACCCACTCCTATTGGGGTATTTGATGGACCTGCCCCAAACCAGTTATATTACTCCCCTGTAGTTGAGAAATAAGTCACCAAACTGTTTTTCAGAAATGGATAAAATACACAGCTGGATGATACCTTACACTTCCCAAGGTGCTTTGGAGGACACTGTCTCTATAAAACATATTGGAAGTGGCAGAAAAGGTTACTTTTTAAGAATTATGCTAAGAATAATTTGCATATAAAAGAGTTGATTCTGAATTACAAACTTCACTCTGGGCTCTTTTCTCAGAGGAGACCTAGGAGGCCTGAGAGAGATGAATTTCCAACGAAACCTTAAAGATGGCTTCTTCCTCCCTGCGCCCACTGATAAAGAGGACATAGGTGAGCGGTCAAGAGTCAAGCCAGACTCAAGTGGAGAATGGCATTGTCTTCCAAACCTTATGCTGCTGCAATACCACGAATCGGTCCCTGGATTAATCAAGAAACCAAGCTAATAAATGTTCTTGAATGGTCCACTTGGATTTGGATTTCACATTTCCACAATTGTCCTCCTTCTTCCTGATAATGTTTCCACTAATCTTAACTTTTTAGATGGTTTCCATAGAGATTTCTGGTTTAAGAAAGGTCAGTTCTTAAGTCCTCACACCTTGAAAAAATATAAAATAAAAGCAACCAGAAGATCCTTTTTGTTCCCTAAATCTCATGTCAACCAAATAATGTTAAATCCTGCTTGCCTGGAGGATAGGGCTTTTGTAAAAGTAGTGAAAAGAGTCACTTCTAACTTCTAATTAAAGTTAGTCTTAGACTAGGTGCCTGGGTGGCTCAGTTGGTTGAGTGTCTGACTCTTGATTTCAGCTCAGGTCATGATCCCAGGGTTGTGGGATCAAGCCCAGCATTGGGCTCCATGCTGAGTGTGAAGTCTGCTTGGGATTCTCTTTCTCTCTCTCTCTCTCTCTCTTTCTTTCCCTCTACCCTCCCATGCACATGCACTCTCTCTTAATTTATTTAATTAATGGTAGTCTTAGACTGAACAAAACTCACAAAAAAGTATCTATTATAATGAAGAGCTAGGTGGACAAAAAGGATGATTTTTTTCTATAATTCTCTATTGTTAGAATACTTTGCATTCTAAAGAATACTCTTATTGAAGTTAGGAAGTGCAGTAGTGGATGAAAATATTAGATTTGGTACATAAAATATTCTGGTAAGTTCTTCACTAAAAAAATTTTTTTAATGTTTTCTTTGTTTTTGAGAGAGAGACAGAGACAGAGTACTAGCAGGGGAGGGGCAGAGAGAGAGAGGGAGACAGAATCTGAAGCAGGCTCCAGGCCCTGAGCTGTCTGCACAGAGCCCAATGTGGGGCTCGAACTTGTGAACTGTGAGATCATGACCTGAGTTGAAGTCGTGCACTTAACCAACTGAGTCACCCAGGCACCCCTCTAGTGAGTTCTTCAAAAGAAAGAAATAGAACAGAACAGAAACAGAAGAAGACAAGTCTTCTCCTTGAGGATCACTTTCTTCAGTGGTGGGATTCCTCATTGGCTTATCAAGTTTTGACCATTTGTAGTTAGATTAAGTTTTGCTTCTGTGTTCCATTTTGGTGTATCATTAATTCAGAAGGCCAACTTCGGCAGTCAGAAGTTTATTTGTGACAGTGACCCTAAAATGTTAAAAGAAGAAGAAAGGAAAAAAGGAAAGAAGAGACAAAAGAAAGAAGGAGGGGGGAAGGAAGAAAGAATTGTAGCTTTGTTCAGTTGAAAGTATACTTAAAAAAAAAAAAAAGAAAGTATTCTACACAGGGGTCTAACTTAATGCTTGTCTCATGGTGTATAACTCTTTCTTGTATATTCTAAATTGAATGAAGACTAGTTGATGTTACCTGAGGATTTAAGTATATTTACTATAAATGAAAAGGATATAGTCATTAGATACAACAATTGCTGGCTTTTCAGGGTCTGCTGAACGTCTTTCAGTTAGCTCTAATTACTCAGGTTTTCAAAACACATTTCTGCAAAGCTGTAGTCTACCCGAAACAGTAATTTTATACAGGAACAACGACAGGGCTTTCTAGTATATATATGCACTGCTTTATGGTGTCAGATTGCTTAATATATATATTGATCATTTACAACCAACCACGTAAGCACCTTCAATTTTCTATTCTGGCAAAGGGAAGAGAGAAGAGCTTGCATTTAGCACATCTAAGGGTCTTAGCACTTAATGTTCCCTCTGCCTAACATACTCTTCTTCGGATCCTGGTCTGGTTTGCTTCATTCTTTCTTTTGGCACCTGCACCAATTCATCACACTAAAATCCTCCCAACACTCCCTGTCTCCTTTACCCTGCTTTTTTCCTCCTTCCATAATATATATATAAAATGTGTGTGTGTGTGTGTGTGTGTGTGTGTGTGTGTGGTGGTGCTGGTGGTGGTGCATTCTATATTCACTTGCTTATTTAATTACTTACTGACCATCTCCTCACGCTGGATGATAGCTCCTGAAGGGCAGGGGCTTTGTTTTGTTCCTAACAGTGCTTGGCACGCAGAAGGAGCACAGTAAATACTTGTGTACTGTGGAAAGAGGATGGTAAGATCTATTCATCCTCACAAACTTTGGAAGGATAAGGGCACATAACTTAGCACGCTGACAAACAGGTTACGGGAAGAGATGAATTCTGTCTTCACTTTGGCTAAGACTGAGCATGGAAACAGAAGGTGGCCCATTTACTTTCTTTTATAGATGCATGCCCCCCAGCTGGCCGGGCTATTTGGCAAATATTCCAGACTTGCTCCTTGCTCCAATCTATTCATTAGGCTCCAGCAGCCTGCCTGAAGGAGCAGAGGCTTCTTTATTTTGGTTGTAATAAGATACGACCTTTCTCAGTTCAGAACCTTGAGAAACATACTTGCTCACCGCTAACATATATTGAGTAACTTTCAGAACATACATTACCCAGAAAGAGGAAGGGAGGCATTGAGGGATGTTGCATAAATGCTCTAGGTCACCTTGCTTCACGTTAAGCTCCCTGGTGGGGGTGTTCAGATAGGGTGACATGCAGAAGCACTAGGGCTGGGTCAGCATTTTCTCCTGAATCAGAATTGAACTCACGCCCTAGCGCTTACCAGGGGGCACTACTAGAGTCTCTTCATTCAAAAAAGTTTTAAGTTTATTTATTTATTTTGAGAGAGAGACACAGAGATTGAGCAGGGGAGGCATAGAGAGAGAAGGAGAGAGAGAATTCCAAGCAGATTCTACTCTGTCAGCGTTGAGCCTGACATGGGGCTTGAACTGATGAAGGTAAGATCATAACCTGCACCAAACCCAAGTGAGATCGTAACCTGTGCCGAACCCAAGAGTCAGAAGCTTAACCGACTGAGCCACCCAGGTGCCCCACTACTAAAGCCTCTTAATCTCTCTTTAGCTTTAGTTTTCTTATCCATGTAGCCCAAAGATCTTATACTTCCTGGTCTCCAAAGGTGACTTCAGGTTCTGATGTCCTACAAGTCCTCCTTCCTCTCCATTTTCCTGCCTTTTTTTTTTTCTTTTTGCAGATGATGAAGCTGAAAAGGGATGTGTCTTGCTCAAAGTCACCCAGCTAGTTAAATGCAGAGACAGCACTAAAATTCAGGTTCAATGCTTTTCCAATGATGAATTCAAACTTAATTTTCATGCCCCTGGATCTCAGCCTTTTCAGTTTCAAAGCTCTTTGATCATTGGGTCCCTTTGGTGGGAAAGAGATGCCGTGAATCATTTAGGTAAGTGGCAGCATCAAACTCTACTGCTAGATCAGGAAAGGGGACACAGAAGAAAAAGCCAAAACCTGATATCATCAGTCTCATTTAGGATGCTGTGCTAGGACTCTAGTGCCAGCTCTTCTGGAAACTATTTAGTACAATCAGTAGGATAAGTGATGTTACTTTTGATGATACAAATGGAATTTGCATTTATAGTTTTATTAAATACCATCAATAATATATTGATTCATTAATTTTCATTAATGACAGACCTTGTGGCAATCATTTACATGAGTTCTAAGACAGAATGCCAGTACTTTGTACTCCAGGCTTTGAAAATGTGTATTTTATAACTGATCTCACTATATTTTCAATTTTTTGGCAAGACTAACCCCCAAATCTTCCTACCTTTCTTCTCTAACGTCCAGTCACTTCTGTTGAACTAGCTTCCCTTATTTTCTCTTTATTTTCTATATCCACTATTTCACTTTATTCTTATTTTGTTTCCTGGGGGTTGAGGCTGGACAGTATAGAGATTTTCCTGACTGCAGAGATGGGGAAATTGGAACACACAGCTGTTAAAAGATTGCTAAATAAAGAGAAACATGAGATATCTTACTCATACATGTCCTCCATTTAGCCAGATTTGTCAAATGTAAATGAGCATTGCAGAGCTGGAATGGACTGCCCATCAGGCTACAGCATCAGTCTTCTTATGTAAAACCAATCTTACTCACTAAGAAAGGAAGTCACCTATAAATAATATCAGGTATTTCATTTTCATCTTAAACAAAAGTTCGGAATGACATTCACAAAGCAAAAGAAGACACTTAGAGCACATAATAGGTAGATGGCTGTAAAAATTTTTCGCAGGATTTATAGAAAGCCTCTCTATCTAAAAAACAAGCACGATGTTTATGCTGTTCATGACACTGTAAGAAGAATCTTTGGAAAAGTCTAAAATACTTCAGAAAGGGATTGATATCATCTCATCTTTAGCATATTGTACAATAGTAACTGTAACAAAGATGATGACGATAGCTAATATTTTTGAGCATGTACTAAGTGCCAAGGACATATTGTCTCATCGAATCCTTCCTGTAACATCCCTATGAGGTAGGAACTACTCATATACAGGAGGGAATGGAGGCACAGAGAAGGTGAAATAAACCTGTCCAGAGTCCCAAGACTAGTTCTTCCATATGAGAAGCCAGGTGGTTTTGTTGTTTACTAAGTATAAACCTGACGTACCATTCTGAAGTCCTTTTCAAACTTGAAAGCCCCACCTCCCGTGGCACAGAGCGTGGTGTGGAGGCTGGAGAAGTTCTTCTCACTGCCCATCTGAATGAACCTGTGCATCGCACAGCTGGGGAAGCGAATGAAGTGCAGGTTCCCTTTGCGCCCACACATGGTCAGATTTTTCAGTTCTAGATGGACGTCTCGGATCCCAGTTTTCCCGTAAGCGGTGTTAGAAGTCAAATACTTTCTAATGCTCTTCAGGTTCTCTACTTCCTCTTGTTCTTCTTCGGCTGTAATATCCTTTGGTTCAAAGTAGACCAATTTAACCAGCGTTCCACCGATGTCCATGCCAAACCAGGGGAAGGCTAGATAGAGGACAGAAAGATAGTACTGTTGAATTCCATGCATGGGGCTGTTCAACTTCTGAATATTCAAGAACATTGAATAGAAGGTGTCACATCTGAATGTGCATTTAATACTCAAGCCACCTGAATTCAGCTAGATGTGCCTAAAAGAAGACAGGCAAGGGGAAATCCACCATTCAAATGGTGCCCGTGTTTCTGCCCGTATTCCATTTAGACTCTGCCTCAGACCTGAAGTTGAGAAGAAAAGTAAGACGCTGCAGTCCCTTAGGCCAGTCTCAATTCCCAGGCTTCTCAGAGCTTGAGTGTCTCCCCAACCTGAGTACAATCCCAATACTTACAGATCTCTTTTTGCATACACCATGGCTCTCAAATGCTCTCTTATCAGAATCTCAGCCAAAGAAACAGTGGTCTGTTCCAATGCCAGGGGAAAAACTGGCTATGCTAGGTGTACCCAAGGCATGACGGTCTCTAACCCACCCGGCGCACCTCAGGCACTTTGTAGTTACAGTTGTTACAGCATTCAATTTTTGTCTCCGTGAGCCAACTTTATAAGATACGACTCCACTGCTTTAATCTACCAAATAGACAGGAAGGAGAAAGTGAGAGAAGGTGGGTTATAAGAGATGAGGACCCTATGGTGGCAGAACTCTAAAAAGTTATAGCTCCTCTTGTAGCTCATTAACACTGTGCTGTCACATGCTTTGCAATGAACACAGAGCAAATCCAGTGAGATTCCAAACTCGGGGGTCTCCCTTTTCATTTCCGTCAGCAGACGCCATGAAATCGGAAACTGTAATATTAAAACTGAGTTTAAAGATACAGGGAAGGGTACCTGGGTGGCTCAGTAGGTTAAGCGACTGACTTCAGCTCAGGTCATGATCTCGCGGTTCACAAGTTCAAGCCCCTCGTCAGGCTCTGTGCTGACAGCTCAGAGTCTGGAGCCTGCTCCTGATTCTGGGTCTCCGTATCTCTCTGCCCCTCCCCCACTCACTCACACACATATATATACACACACACGCATGCGCGCACACACACACTCTCTCTCTCTCTAAAAATAAACAAACATTTAAAAAAATGTAAAGACACAGGGAGCTGGCACACCTGGGGTGGCTCATTTGGTTAAGTGTCTGACTCTCGGGTTTAGCTCAGGTCATAAACTCATGGTTCATGAGTTCGAGCCCCACATCAGGTTCTGCGCTGACAGTGGGGAACTAACCTCCTTGAGGTTCTCTCTCTCTTTTTCTCTCTGCCCCTCCCTCACTTGCACTGCCTTCGTCTCTCTTAAAATAAATAAATAAACTAAAAAAAAAAAGAAGACACAGGGAGCTACAATGACTTCTTTCAATAAGTTTATTTTGTTCAGCCCTAGAGAGCATCCATTATGAGCCCTGGTCAAGTTGTGCTGCCACACCCAGAGGTCACATTGCCAGGAGCGTAAGTGAGAGCTACAGAAGTTCTCTTTTTCTGGGCAGCCCTACTACTTAGCCCTCTGCGCCGCCGGTAGGTTGGGGAGGGTGGAAGGAGAGGGACACAGCAGGAAGCCAGCCCTGGATGTGCGATTTTCTCTCCAGCGCTTCACTGCCGCCCTGTTCGCTGTAGTCCGAGCTGGCTGTTCCACACTCGGAAGCACTCACCCTCAACAATATGAAAACTAAAATCCCAAACTCGCCAGAAGATTAAGAGCAGCAGATTCCACTGACAAGACCAAGGTAACAAGACCAAGTCCTATTATAATTGTGGAAGTTTGCAAAGCAAACCCCACATGGCCCAGGGCAAGTTGGGAAGCTTGCTTGTCTGAGCAGATTATAGGAAACTGGTGAAAGTTCATCCCCACTGGTCAAGTCAACTCACAGATGACGTTTCTTGCTCCGTTCTCTAAAACTGTCAGCATGGCCCACAGTGTACGTAAAAGGAAAAGCCTCAAATGAAGATTCACAACTGCTTCCCATACACGGGAACCAGGGATCAGCTCACTGTCACTCCCTCCCCCTCTGTAGAGCTCCATACCCTCATCTGTGGAAGGACGGATTGCAGTACAATGGTCTCCGGTGGATCCCTTCAGAAGTAAAATCGCAACCACCCCCAACCACGTAGGCTGACCAGAGCCCTAGTTTTAATCTCCACTGAAACACCTATGGCAGGTCAACTGGTGCCTGGGCTATGCAATCAGTGTTGCAGGTCTAATCCTTTCTTCTCATAGTAGGAGAGACACCTCCCACTGGGCAGGATGGGGGAAGGGTATTCTGGAACTTTGATAGGCTACTCATTTGGAAACATTCTGGCAACACCTATTAAAATGAAAAGTACATATACATTTTTAACCCAGCTAATCCCTCTCCTGAACCATATTTAAAAACCAGAGCATTTGAAGATAGGTATAAGAATGTTCTTGAAGCACCCTTTACAGTGGCCAAATTAAAAAGCAAAAACAAAAAAGAGAGAGGGAAAAAAAACAGAAAACAAATTGCATGGCCTGTAACCGGAGAACTGTTCCACTGAGTGTGTTCTTTCCAACCCACGGACTACCGGATAGCCATTGAAAAGAATGAATGAGATCTATACCAGCTGCCTGGAGAGAGAGCCCTAAGCTTCTGTTAATGAGAAAAGTAAAAGATACCCAGAAGTGTAAACAATTTATTTACCCTATTTGGTTTGGAAAGAAGAAAAAAGGAGGGAAGGAAGGCAGGAAAGAAGGAAGGCAGGTGGAAGGGAGACCCGTGGGTTTATGATTATTTGCTTATTATATGCTGAAAGATACTGAAGGCTATCTATCCCTCCAGGTTGTAAATAGCTTTAGGAGGTGGCAGAGATGGGCATGCCGTATGGGGGGAGGCTAGAGACTGGGAGAGGAGACGGAGAAAATTCTACACTCACAACTTTTGGTACTTGCGGAAATAAAAAAAATAAGGAGAATTCAGTGACAATGAAAAATAGGAGACCTCCCAGCAGAGAATGGACAGAACAGCTATGTGAAACCAAGAAAATAATCTAGTTCTGTGGTAGAAATCCAGGCCCCATGCAGCCATAGCTGCCCCCAGCCCCTCTGCGATGAAGGGTCCCTCTGCGGCCCTTTGTGGATGCTGCTAAGTACAGGCAAGTGCAAAGAGGTCTCACTTTTTTAAAAACGTGACAGGGGACCTAAACTTTTCGTAAGTTATTCAGAATCTGGCTGTCTTCTTCCTGCTTCATTCACCTCCGGCTCATTTCAAAGCTTTTGTTGGCCACAAAATGGTGGAAAAAAGCGTAGAGCTCTGAAAATTCTGTTAAATGTTATATCAGCAGTTTTGCTTGAGGTAAAAGAGGATAAAGATCAGGATACTGTATAAGTTTAAATGGCAAGAGAAATTACTTTCGCTTACCTATGTTCATTTCTATTTTTTTTAAATGTTTATTCATTTTTGAGAGAGAGAGCATGAGCAGAGGAAAGTCAGGGAGAGAGGGGGACAGAGTATCTGAAGCAGGCTCCGCGCTGACAGCAGCGACCCTGATGCAGGGCTTGAATTCACGAACCTTGAGATCATGACTGGAGTCGAAGTCAGACGCTCAACTGACGGAGCCACCCAGGCATCCCTTACCTATGTTCATTTCTTACCTTCATGAAAAAATAAACTCTCTTCTAGTCACATTTTAATGCTTTTATAGGAGCTGTCAGATTTTGAATGCAGTTTTATTCATCTTCCTGATATCAAGGTCAACCTAAAATTTACACTTCCCAACCACAAGCTGTGAATGCAGATAAAAGACAAAGGGAAGCAAGAACACCCCAATGTAACTATCATCCATGATTCATGTGTTCTTTAATCCAGAATATCCAAATGTTTTGATAAATTCCGCCGGATCACTGATAAGAGTCTGGTCAGCGTTTGCCAGAAGTGATGATGGTTCTAGATACAGAATGTCTGCCAGGCAGCAGGGAGTGGGGAAGTGGATTTTGGAGGCTGGCAAGGCATTTGGTAAAACCATTATGCATGATAGCTTGAAAGGAATATACTATATCTAAAGAATTAATAGATATTGTGGAAGAGGTTGAAAGTCAAATGTTTAGTAGCTGTGTTGGTTACATTTGGCTACTATTGGCTGCATTTTAAAAGGTGTAATTCCCCTCCCCCCCCAAAAAGGGGGGGAGGAGAAAGAGAGAGAGAAAAAGAAAGAGAAAGAGAGGTGCCTAGAAATTAACTGAGTCACTTATAAACCAAAAGAAAAAGGAATAGAGTCTTTTAAGTCAGACTTGCAGTGTTGGAAAAAGCAGCTGCTTCTCTTTCCCAATAGATAAACAATGAAATGAGTAAGTCTTTGCATGGAAGAGGTCAATTAGCACTTAGCTTTGGGGTGAAGTTCAAAGAAAGAGAAGGGTTATCTCACTCAATCTTAACACTCTGAAAGGGTTATAAAAGTGTCCAAATAAAGACGCAGTTGAGGTCACAGGCTCCTTAGTTAATACTTTCAATTAGAGTACCTCAGGGGAAAAGAGACCAGAGGTGTGGCTTCCTAACCAAAGGGTGACAGGCTCCAAGTATCATCAATTAAGTCAGTAAAGAAAGGTTGGGAGCAAAACCACAGAGGCATCCAGTAAACAGAAGTATGCCAAGGACTGAGGGCTTGGCATATGGAAATAAGTTACAGCTAAATAGATAGGAAACTGATTTCCTTTTGAAAAGAGTTGTACTGCCAGAGAAACCAAAAGCTGAATGCTTGAGCCCCTCAACCCTCTCAACTCAGCTGGGAGAGCCACTCCACTCCTCTGGAGAGCATATTCTTCAGTCTTTAGCTGTGACCAAGGAGGTTACTGGAAAAATTGAAGGCCTGAAGCAACAGATTGGGGAACCCCTTCCCGAGAGAACAATCAAGACCCCAAAGGAACACCCTCTATGTACAGGCCACCCAGATGGATTTCAGAATTGCTTCAGCATTTTAGAATGACTGAGGACCAATGAATGGATGTCTCCCATTCACCCTCTTTCTGTACAAGGGTATTTATTGAGTTTTCCAATCTTTCTTTC